CGTCTGTAAAACTACTAAAACAACGTACTGCGGTGAAAAATATTTGCCAATCATACTCAATCGACTCGGAACACTGCAGTTCCTGATTTAATTAAGGGTATTATTAAAAAGTACTCGTGCAGTAATCAATTAAACAGGGTAACGAATTGGAGGATAGATACAACTAGACTATAAGGACGCAAAATACGCGTAGGTACAACTAGACGTAGGGACTACTAGACGGAGGGACCACTAGTCGTAGAGACTACTAGTCGTAGGGACTACTAGTCGTAGGGACAACTGGTCGCATCCGTACAAGCTAGGTGATACTACTTGTCGGTGGGATACACGTCTAGTTGTACCTACGTCTACTTGTACCTACGTCTAGTTGTACCTCCTAAAAATCTGCAGGTACAACTAGTCGGGTGAGCCACCGTCTACTTGTCCCTCCGTCTAGTTGTACCTACGACTAGTTGTCCCTAGGCCTCGAGGTACAAGTAGTCGGAGGGACAACGAGACGGAGGGACAACGAGACGCGGTCCCTCCCGCGGTCACGGAAACGTCATCGTCGTCGTCCGGGATCGCGGCAAAATCATGAACATTTCCCGCGGCTATTTAAACAACACCGTCATCTACTGCGGTCACGGAAACGTTATCGTCGTCCTCCGCGATCGTGGAAAAATCATGAGAACATTTCCCTTACCCGTGTAAACATCAACGTCATCTCCCGCGGTCACGGAAACGTCATCGTTATCTCCCGCGGTCACGGTAATTTTATCGTCGTCCCCAGCGGTCACGGAAAGGTCATCGTCGTCTCCCGCGGTTTTGGAAACGTCATCGTCGTCTCCCGCGGTTTCGGAAACGTCATCGTTGTCGTCCACTATCGCGGCTAAATCGTGAACATTTCCCGAGGCCGTGTAGACATCATCATCATTGGCTTTCGCGGTTACGTAAACGCAAGACGACAATCGCGGCAAAATCATGAAAAATCCCGACTTTGAAATCAAATTTAAGACTAAATCCCGACTTTGAAATCAAATTTAAGACTAAATCCCGACTTTTCAAGACCATTTTGAAATTCAATACTAATTCCCGACTTTCCCGATTTTCCCGACTACTAGACACCCTGACCCCCTAAATGAAAATTCATCACAAAACATAGTTTCATAAAGTGTTAATCCTAACAATTCCTCAATATTCTTATTAGGAATTTTACAAGGATTCTGAAAATTGCAATAATACCCATTTAAACATGATTTTTAAAGCAGCTGCTGCAGTATCATAAAAGCCAATACATGTTTTTTTTAAGGAAATTAAACATTAGCCGTTCCGTGTTTTTTATAAGAAACTCTTAAATTTGAGAACGACAAATCAAAGGAACAGTAGATGTTTATACATCATTTTAAAGGTTATTAACTGCAGAAGTTTTTAGTAATATTTGACACTCTCTACAGTCCAGTGTAGTACAGGGTGTTCATTTGAAAACTTTCCATATCTGTTGTGTGCAAAGGTAAGGCTTTTAACACTTGTTTGTTCTCATTTCCCCCTAATTTGGACATGCCAAATCCAATAAAATTATTTTCAATTTCGAAAAATGCCCCAAAAGGGCCCAATTTGGGGGGTAGGGGTGCTTTTTGAGAAATTTTCAAATGTAAACATGGGTTGTGTGATACATCAATTTAAAGGTCTAATCACCCCGACTATTTTGGTGCAATAAAAATGTCATTATCTTTAACCGTATTTAAAGGGTGGGTCAAAACGTTTTTCAAAAGGACTTTGAAGTTAAGTGCCGTATTACCCGAACTACTGAACGGAACAGCGCCAAATTTCTTTCCAAGCTTATTCTTAATCTACTCTTTAAGATAACTTGTAATAAGGGCATTTTCCATGTTATCTTCTAATTTAGAAAAAATCTCAAATTTTAAGAATAAAAGAAAGGTGAAAACTCAAAATTCTTAAATAGCAAGGTATAACAAATTTCATACCACGTGAAAGGTCCTTTTTTAACAAACATTTTACGTATTTAAGTTTTCTTTCTATCTCTTACCGTTTAAAAATTGCAGTAGAAAAACTGAATTTTCTATGGTTAAATTATAACTAGTTTTCTAACAAAACACATTGCACTTTGCTCAACGATGTATTATGATTAATTACAAATTGATCAACTACTTTTACTTGTGTCAGTTCATCTTGGACCCTTCATCCTGTTTTTTTCTCATTGGGAACTGAGCCAGTTTCAGAAATTTCTTAACCAAATCATTTACAGCTTTATTACTTAAGGTCTTACCTGGATATTTATTGTTAAACACTTTGCAGTTATCCTGAAACACTTTTGTTCTGCCCAATAAGTAAAAATAAAGTCTATTTTTTTAAGTGTACACCATATTCGATTAGATGCTACAGAAAATAGTACTTTTTGAAATTAGTACTACCGTTGACTAGTCAATGGTACTACAGAAAGCAGCCCACATGTAGGTTGTCCTCATCAGCTATAAGACTTGTTTTTCACAAATTAAAACGTAACGACTTGTTTGTCAATCAGGGTATCAATAATTATGAATTGTTTCCTTCAGTTAATGCACCATTAAATGTGTCTAGAGACGAATTTTGGCTGTTTTATTAGAAAACTAGTTACAATATTACTATGGAAAATTCAGTTTTTCTACTGCAATTTTTAAACGGTAAGAGATAGAAAGAAAACTTAAATACGTAAAATGTTTGTTAAAAAAGGACCTTTCACGTGGTATGAAATTTGTCATACCTTGCTATTTAAGAATTTTGAGTTTTCACCTTTCTTTTATTCTTAAAATTTGAGATTTTTTAAAAATTAGAAGATAACATGGAAAATGCCCTTATTACAAGTTATCTTAAAGAGTAGATCAAGAATAAGCTTGGAAAGAAATTTGGCGCTGTTCCGTTCAGTAGTTCGGGTAATACGGCACTTAACTTCAAAGTCCTTTTGAAAAACGTTTTGACCCACCCTGTAAATACGGTTAAAGATAATGACATTTTTATTGCACCAAAATAGTCGGGGTGATTAGACCTTTAAATTGATGTATCACACAACCCATGTTTACATTTGAAAATTTCTCAAAAAGCACCCCTACCCCCCAAATTGGGCCCTTTTGGGGCATTTTTCGAAATTGAAAATAATTTTATTGGATTTGGCATGTCCAAATTAGGGGGAAATGAGAACAAACAAGTGTTAAAAGCCTTACCTTTGCACACAACAGATATGGAAAGTTTTCAAATGAACACCCTGTATAGAAAAACTTTGGAAAAAGTTATTACTTTTTTATAAAAAATCACAAATTCAAACTTCCATGGTCAAATAAGGGCTTATGCAGATGTTTAATCTCAATGAATTTGTATTATTACCATTGGAAATTTAACGAGGATTCTGAAAATGACAATGAATTTGGAATAAAAACAATGTTTAATGCACTTATGGCCATTTTATGTAAGTAAGTACAAATATTTTGAAAAAATCTTAAATCGTCTATTCCCTACCTGTGAGGGTATGGAAACTTAAATTGGTGCCATTTTGTCACCAATACTTAGTAGTTTAACACATACATTTTTTTAACACTAACTTCGTTCCACCCTGTATATTGTTATTGACCTTCACCATCGAGCTTCATAATTATTTTTACCTACAATTTTAAGTGAAGAAAACATTTGTGTAAAAATAAATATTGGTGTAATTAGATTCGGTACACGTTGTTTCGTAATAAAGGGGAGTAAAAAACACAGGGATGTAATTTTAGACATTTTCGGAGGCCTGCATTTACATTTTAATTTTGAACCCTCAGGGTTGGCCGTCTACTTATTCTAAAACAGGGCAGTACAGTTCTAGCTAGTTATAAACTAGAAATAAACCCTTTACAGTTTTGGATTCTACCATTTTGGCTACTAATCTTTAATTATATGCCGAACTTGACCTATGCTGATGCTATTCAAGGAAAGGCATGTACAGTATTAAAATTTTACTTATTTGGTTGAAATTAAATCTTATATATTAAACTTATGACAGCTACTCTGATCTTACTACTGGACCGAATTACACACGGGCTGTACCAAAAGAAAGGTTATCGTTCCTATATGTGCAGGTTTTATTTGTATTTTGAAAATATTTTTGTTAATTGGGTGAAAAATGGAAATTAAAGTTTTCTTATGAAGATTTAACATGGGGCCAAAATTTTTAGCTTACAACAGCCACTCTGATTATACTACAGGACCAATTTAAACGCAGGTTGTACCAAAAGAATAGGTTATTGGTCCTATATGTGCAGGTTTTATTTGTATTTTGAGAATATTTATGTTAATTGCGTCAAAAATGGAAATCCATTCTGTATATTAATAAACAAGCATGCTTATTGAAAACCTTTTTTCTCAGCTCCTGTGCATCCCAGGGAAAATCTACGCATACTGCTAGAAAGATATTTGCCTATAGGCCTTGGCCTTAGGGGTCGCAATGTTGGTGATGAAATAACAGCAAAATATAAACAGAAAATCAAAACTAATTGAAGAAATTGCAATCACATGTTTTATTTACAGCTTGGGGTGGACATAGAGAAGTTTGCACAGTACATACTTTTGGTCGAGTTTTCGACCACGGGTCAGCCCTAGTTATGAACTATTTGATTCTCAGATTGTTTGTTTTTGGATCAGGATTCTTCTGAGACGTCTACCATGTTGTTGTCCATTACATTCTGTTGACCAACCAATAGCACCATGGCAGAGGGTTCCTGATTTCTAGCTCATTTTCAATTAGTTTGAATTTTTCATGATGGTTTCAGTTAATCCAGGTCTTAGTTTAACAGGGTGCGGTTAAAAGAGGTTTTATGTACTTTACACATGTATCTGAATTTGAATGGATAGTGTTTTTGGCCAGTGGGGACACCGAAACAGAGAATTAAATTGGTCCTGGATCATTTATAGATTCAAAAGCAATTGGAGACAAGAACGAGAGTTAAGGCATTAAATAAACAAAGTATGTAAATGATATAGTCAGTTCCTACCTGAGTAAAAGCGACACCAAGTCCAAATCCACCGACAAGAGCTGTGTTCTTCTCAAGGAGTTGCTTGAGCACAGGGAGACAGCCCTTGTTGTTGGCCTTGTCAGGTGTACAAGACTCATCCACAGGGTTGTCAGGACAACAAGAGTATGGCACAGTCCCGTTGGTGTACACCTTCTCCCAGTCAGTCACCGATTGAGTGCCACAGCATTTAAACTGTAATTGTGAAAAATATACCATTTAAATTTAACATGTCTAAACGAAATAATAAACATAAAACAATCCCGATAAGCCATCTAAAATTAAGGTTTTTAGCGAATTTCCCATATAGGGAATATTAGCGAATTTCCCATATAGGGAATATTAGTGAATTTCCCATATAGGGAATAAGCTATTACCGTAGTACTAATGGTAAGACCTGGACCCGGGACTGATTTAATTTTTCATTTTGAGGTCCCTAGAGGCCAAAAACACCATCTGTTCAAATTCATATATATATATATATATATATTAATAAATGAAATAAATAATTAAACATTTAGTACCCTTTTTTTAAGTTATTAATTTATTGAATAAACTTACATGTTTCGGCTCTTAGACCATGATCACAGTTATGAACAAATAGTAAATAAATAGAAGTGTAAATAATAAATAAGTAAATTATCATATGATTTTGGAATTTTGTCTAGTATATAGGTTGGCTTAGGTGTTGTTTTCCTTTGATTTATTATATAAGATTTTTTCATTTATTATGTTTTCTTTTTGAATTTGCATTGTATTAAGTATGTTATACAGGGTGTAAATTAAGTCTGGCACACATTTTTTATCTTTTTTTCTATAGTAGATAGAAGAAATCAATTTGCGGGAATGATTAATAACAAATGTTAGGCACTTTTTACAAATTTTGAAAATAAAAATTCCCTTAAGGGCAAGGGGGGGTGGGGGGTAACTAAAAATTTTCAAATGACAACCCCCATCTTGTGACCCCTCATTTTAAAGGTCATTGGAAGACAAATCCAAAGATGTGTCTAAAAAAATTTTCTTTGCACCCTATCCAAGATGGCGGTTTAAAATGTACTTAGGGTTGAATGTGTAAATTAGGTATGGCACACATTTCTTATCTTTTTTACTCTTTGTAGATAGAAGGAATTAATTTGCGGGACTGAGTAAGAACAAATGTTTGGCACTTTTTCATAATTTTGAAAAAAAATCCCCTTAAGGGTAAGGTGGGGGTGGGGGGTAACTAAAAATTTTCAAATGACAACCCCCATCTTGTGACCACTCATTTTCAAGGTATTTGGAACACAAATTTAACGATGTGTCTGAAAAATTTTTTTTTGCATCCTGTCCAAGATGGCGGCTTTAAATGTGCTTGGGGTTAAACGGGTGGGGTCGGGAACACAATTTTATCTTTTTTGCCATTAATAGATAGAACTTATCCACTCGTGGGACTGAGCCAAAATTAGGCACCTTTTTATTTATTTTAAAAAATCCCCTAAGGGTAAAGGGGGGGGGGCAACTAAAAATTTTCAAATGACAACCCCCATCTTGTGACCTCTCATTTTAAAGGTATTTGAGAGACCAATTTAACAATGTTTTTAAAAATGTTTTTTAAGCATCCTGTCCAATATGGCGGCTTAAAATGTGCTAAGGGTTGAACAAGTAAATTAAGTCTGAAACACATTTTTATTTTTTTACCAAAAATAAAGTTATAATAGATTTGATAGTTTATATCAGAAAAACTTGGACAATAGGACGAACTGCAATAAACAAACTTATGTAGCTCTTATCACTTAGTAAATAAATCTGATAATTGAGATTCCAGGGTTGGACGTTGCACTCACTTGGAATTCCTATCCTCTTTCTTAAGACTGCAGGCTAATCAGGTAACAATCTTATCAGTTTTTCCTTATTCCCCTTCAGTCTGTGAAGGTAGTTTCTTTGAAGTAGTCGTAAGTACATCTTTTATTATTTTTATTTTAACATGGCGTTGTTAACAACAAAACAGAAGATAGAAATACTTGTCATTGTTGGCTATGGAGATAAAAAAACGGACTCAACTTGAAGCGTGTGATATTTTTAACAACTTGTACCCTGATCGCCAAATTAATCGAGCTACAGTATCTAAGATATGTAATAAGTTTGCTGAAACGGGGGATGTTGCAAGTAAACCAAGAAGTGGTAGGCAAAATCTGTACTCACTGAAGAAACTAGACTGAATATACTTCTTAGCGTTGAAGAAAATCATCACACATCGACACGTAGGATTGGAAATGACTTTGGGATAAGTCACATGTCGGTCCACAAAGCCCTTAAAGCCGAGAAGTTTCATCCTTTTAAGGTTCAGTTAATTCATGAATTGAACGAGGACGATTTTGACCGCAGGATTGAACTCTGTGAACTCATGATGCAACGGTGTACTTTGGATCCAATGTTCAAAAATAGAATTGTATTTTCAGATAAGGCTTCATTTAGTCTTCATGGCCACGTGAACAGACAAAACTATAGGTATTGGTCTCCTGAAAATCCGCATTGGGCTCAAGAATGCCATACTCAAAATCCCCAAAAAGTCAATGTTTGGGCAGGCATTGTCGGGACCAAATTAATAGGGCCATTCGTGATCGAAGTAAATCTAAACGGAAACCGTTATCAGGAGTTACTGCGAGAGTCGATAGTACCTGCCATTGCCCATGAGTTTCCTCCGGAAGAAGAAGAAAATTTTGTCAACGAGAACATTTGGTTTCAGCAAGATGGCGCACCACCTCACTATAATGCTGAAGTCTGAAATTACTTGGACGAAGTTTTTCCAGATCGTTGGACAGGGTGTCTACTACATTCTGGATAAAAAATTCATGGACAATTCCCGTACATTTAAGGACACTTTGCCGTAACCTTTGTCGGTGTCATTAGGCCTACCGAATAATTTTCCTGATTTGTCAAACTGTATTAATCTTGTTATTCACTGTAGTTGTACCAGAGAGAAAAGTAAATAATAATAGGTAAGAGTTAAAAATTTCAAAATAGAAAATTATTGAAAGTAAACAAACATAGGCCTACCTATACTTTAGGTGTACTTTAGGTGTATACTTTTATAGTGTAACAGAGAAACGCAATCATTGTCTCCAGCGACAAATATCTCCATCGGTCACGTAAACTTCATAACATAGCTTATCCGATCCAGGCCGATTAATTTGGCATGATTCGCCCTGGCACAACGTTAGGTTCTCGACTACTTTTGAAAAAAAATCTTTAATGCATATTGTTACTCAATTCTTAGTACAATATCAAGGTATGGTAAGCGGCTATTAATAAGCAATAAGCACAGAGTAAGATTATTGTATTTTCATTTGCAAAGTTAATATCGGCACATAGCAATCATTAGTTGTTTATCTTAGGCTCAATTACATTTTCTTAATATATTTTACAGCTCTTTCAAGAATCAAAATACCCAGGCCTAAACCTAATTATTTAGGAGGGTCTATATAAACTGAGTAACAAACAATGAGGTTATAATAGCAGCAAAGTCACTATCATCATTCTAGTTCATAAGATTTAGATTGCTTAAAGCATACAACTCAATAAATAAATATATGGGAAACAAAAAACATTGAAACCTGAATAGCCAACAATATAAGACAAAGATACAGAAAATGCAATGACATAATTTGAAACCAAGCAGGCCTACATAATGATAAAACATTAATGCAAACAACAATGCTTGTGGTTTTGTCAATTGAAAGATAAAATGTACATAAAAAAGGGGTTAACTTACAAAATAAGACTGTATATTATTTAGATGTTTAGTATGAAACCATAAACAGTTTTATGGCGCTAGGCACTGGCCGCGGCAAATTGAGAAGTGGAATTTAACAGCCATTTTAAAGCTATTATTTTCACAAAATAGGTTTGGTATCTAATAATAATTACCCTAGTAATAAAAAAAGAAGTTGTAAAGGAATAAAAGTGATACAACTTTTATGAGCTAGCTGCTGAGTCAACAGTTCTTGGAAGTACTTGACTTGACACTTGATTGTCGTGATAAAATATTAATGGGTTTGAGATTGCTAATGGGATTTTTATTGCATAATTACTCTGGTAATAAATTAATAAAATGTAAACAAACATCTGATAAACCTTTTATGTGCTCCGAACCAACTAGCGATCAATAAAATTATGGCCCATTAAAAATTTAAGGACATAGTCTGGCATTTAAGGACAATTCCCGTACATTTCATGGCCAGTAAAAATTTAAGTACAATTCCCGGTTTTCCCGGATTTCCCGGTTGGTAGACACCCTGTTGGATAGGGAGGCGGGGAGCTATTGAAGGCCTGCCAGATCACCCGACTTGACGCCGTTAGACTACTTTTTGTGGGGCCACCTAAAAAGTAGAGTATTTGTTAACCGCCCAGAAAACATCCAGGATCTCACAGCAAGAATAATAATGGAAGCACGATCTATTAATGAAGAAACGCTGTCCAGGGTGGTAAACGAAATTTACAATCGGTTAGGGCTCTGTCAAGTTACTCTTGGGCATCAGTTTGAGCATTTGTGAATATTAACAAGTACGTAAAGTTGATTATTCCAATTACATTTATTATTTAGTTTAGGAATTCTATTAATTTTGATTGCTATTGTGTTTTTGTTGTTGTAGGGTTGTAGTATTATTGTAATTATTTGGTATTCTATTTTATTGTAATTATTTGGTATTCTATTTTATTTTATTGGTAATCAATCTTTACACTATCAAACATTAGAGTATAAAGGAAAAAAGGTGTTCCAGACTTAATTCACCCGTTCAACGCTAAGTACATTTTAAGCCACCATATTAGACAGGATGCAAAAAAAAACATTTTTAGACACATTGTTAAATTGGTCTCTCAAATACCTTTAAAATGAGAGGTCACAAGATGGGGGTTGTCATTTGAAAATTTTTAGTTGCCCCCCCCCTTACCCTTAGGGGATTTTTTCAAATAAATAAAAAGGTGCCTAATTTTGGCTCAGTCCCACGAGTGGATAAGTTCTATCTATTAATGACAAAAAAGATAAAATTGTGTTCCAGACTCAACCCGTTTAACCCCAAGCACATTTAAAGCCGCCATCTTGGACAGGATGCAAAAAAAAATGTTTTAGACACATCGTTAAATTCGTCTTCCAAATACCTTGAAAATGAGTGGTCACAAGATGGGGGTTGTCATTTGAAAATTTTTAGTTACCC